AACTTGCCACACGCAGTCTACTCAAAGTAAGGTATAGTCCATAGCCATATTATGGTACTCCTATAAAAAATAAAATATAATTATATTAGCTCTCATATTTTTTCGATTTAACTTGAATTTTCAAAATGTATCATTTAATATTAAATTATGTATAGTTGAAATACAAATTAAGTTAATTATTAATAATTGGCTTGTTTCATTTATTTGACGACAACAAACGACAAACGCAAGTAGGTATATATATAATATACAATGAGTGTAAAATAAAATATTTTAATTATTTTGATTGGAAACAATTTATTAATGATTTAGTTATTGTAGGTACACTATAGTTGATATCCTATACAGACATATTTTGTAATATTATACCTATACGAGTATTAAGATTATTCAAAAAGACGCGTAGGTTTTGGACGTATTATAGTTTTGTTTTACGAAATATAATTAGTATACTACTACTACTACTACTATAGTATATTTCACAGTCGTTATTATTATACTACTTGACGAGTTCTAAAGAATTGTTTTCCTTTAATTTAAATTTTACGTCTAAACATAGTATAACCGTATAGATACCTACGCGTAATACAAATATATAATATTATACTTACTCGGTTAGGTCGTGTATAGAATGTAGACTTAGGTGAACCACCATAGCTGCGAGTGAATAATACTACGTAATAATATTATTATATTTTGAATTTTGCGCACAGATAACAATACAACAATATAATAATATATTATGTCACGCATATATTCGCGTCGTACGTTATATACCGTGTTTTTTACTGAAACATCTTAAATTTATTATTGTTGTACGCAATGGTTAAGGTTAAACAGATGTTTTATTCCGGTTGAAGTTGATACCGAGAAATTCAACCATGTATGAACGGAAATCTTACGGATACGCTACAGTGAACAACATTATTATAACATTGTTTTTGTGTATGGGGGGACGAAGTTGAGCGTTTGTACGTGTGCATTTGCGACCCGACAAGTTTTTTTGTCTTCGTTGTTGTCGTTTCTGTATACATCATGAATAAACTATTATAAGTCTGTGATACGTTAACACTATTAATACCTACGTTCTGTGATACAAAAATTAATTTAAAAATCAAACAGACTTTTGACTTCCATCATATCGAACACAGATACAAAATCAATTAATTTAAATTAATCTTACTATAGCCTATAGAGGTACCTATAGTTACTATATATACCTATATATTATAATACCGTCATATTTCACACGTGCGTTATGTTTAGTGAAAAAATAACTGAAACTATGGTTTACATTTCTATATTTTAATTTATAATTTTTAAATTCTATAAAATAAAAACAATTTTCATTTATCCAAAATACTAACTAATAAAATATTCAATGCTTTTTTTTTACAACACTTTTAGTCTTCCAGAAACTAGATCTCCGAATGATTGTTTGACCGTGGTTCAACATGGTGTATAATTGGTTATATAATGTATTCTAAAATTGATCCCTGTGAAGTTAACTGTTCAAAGTCGCCGTGTAACATAGAACCGGCTAAAAACGATTGCGAGGAACCGACACAAGAACCTGTCATTCCGGTGGATACCTGTTGCAGTGCATCTCCTGTCAAATGTCTATCCGAAACTAAAGTTCTACACAATTGGACACAATCTTTAACTCGATGTCCAGTGGATATTCTCTGCAGTAGACAAAATCTAATTACACCAGTAGCAGACTGCAGCAAAGAGAAATCATGTAGTGAGTTGTATTCGATCGATTTATGTCCAGAGGTGGAGGTTAAAAAACAAAAAGAGGATTGCACTGTTGATGGTAAAGATAATAAACGAAAAAAAAATATAAGCGTTAAATTTAAGTAAATTTAAATAGTATATTAGTATATTAGTATATTTAAATTTAAATTTAACGCTTATTTATATTTTTCTTTTCGTTAATGGTTAGCTTATTAAGTTTACTATTCGGTTTCACTTTAGGCTTAATCTCATATTTACAATTTCCAGGGTTTTGTTTGTTTGACGTTTTTGCTTTAGTGATGTTTTCCCCTACGCTTTAAATCGTTTTAACAGGTACGGGAGGCGGTTTAGGTTTTTCGGGGTCTTTGGTACCGGCGCATCCGAGTTGGGTCCCGAGTACTAGGGATAAATCGCAGGTACTACACTAGTTGGGTCCTGGATTTTTTTAGGTACTACACTAGTTGGGTCCAGGATAATTTTGGGTACCACACTAGTTGGGTCTGAGATTATTTTAAGTAAATATACAATCCAAACGAAAAATGATATTGAACGATGGAGATGCATTCAGAGATCATGTAAGTCATTTTTTTTAAATATTCCAACGATCAATTTATCAAAATTTATAAAAAACAAAATGAATCAAAAAAATGCAGGAATAATAAATCGATTTGGTTTTGCAAAATTAATGTCTTAAAAAAATTTAACAACACACGTGTGATTTCTTTAAACAATATTTTATTTATATTATACAATACCTATGTATTTTTTATATTTGATTTATAACAATTTTAATATTTTTCTTTGTTTAGTACCTGCATGTTATTGCCATTTATTATTCAAATAAAATTCTAATAATTTATATTTTTAATGGCAAATAAACTAAAAAAATAAATTGTAAAAAACATTTTTAACCATAACTTTGGTCTAAATAAACAGTCATAAGTCTGTTAAAAAGGGAAGGAAAATAAACTTATGTAGTACTCAAAAAAAAAAATTAAGACCTCAACTATTGTTGTACGTGTGAAAATTCCGGACCCAACTAGTGTAGTACCTGCATAAATCCCGGACCCAACTAGTGTAGTACCTGCAAAAATCCCGGACCCAACTAGTATAGCATTTTTGAATTCGGGACCCAATTCGGATGCAGCCTTTGGTACATATGTTTTTATTTGTTTCGTCGTCTTTAATATCATTACCATTATTATCGCGATTATTATCTTTACCATCAACAGTGCAGTCCTCTTTTTGTTTTTAGCCTCCACCTCTGGACATAAATCGATCGAATACAACTCACTACATGATTTCTCTTCGCTGCAGTCTGCTACTGGTGTAATTAGATTTTGTCTACTGCAGGGAATATCCACTGGACATCGAGTTAAAGATTGTGTCGAATTGTGTAGAACTTTAGTTTCGGATAGACATTTGACAGGAGATGCACTGCAACAGGTATCCACCGGAATGACAGGTTCTTGTGTCGGTTCCTCGCAATCGTTTTTAGCCGGTTCTATGTTCACGAAGACTTTGAACAGTTAACTTCACAGGGATCAATTTTAGAATACATTATATAACCAATGGTTACGCCACGTTGAACCACGGTCAAACAATCATTCGTAGATCTAGTCTAAAATATTTTATAGGTTTATTATAGGTATTATTACTTTGTATAATTTGTTGAATTACTTTTGCATGGAAATGGTTACATAGAAACCACTTTGTTGATCTCGGTATTTAAGTGAACTGTATAGGTTCTTTTTTTTTACCGTAATAGTTTTTCAAATTGTCCGTATTTCTAAACAATTTGAAAATTATATTTTATATATTAGTATTGATTAAAATATTAGTATAATATAATAATTATTATAGTATAATAGTTTAATATAGTATAATATTATTATTAGTATAATATATAATGTGTAGGTATATTCTTTGGCATTGTCGACATTTAAGAACATCGAAAACACGAGGGGTTATGAATTCCACCCATGAACTTAACCCATTTTACAGCGTTTTGACACGTCGTTTTCCACGGATTTTAAAACACGTTTTACCCGGTTAGCGAGTTAATTGATTTTTAAGTATAAATTATTTTAATTTTATACACTGCAATATCGCAGGAATTCGACTAGAAAACCAAAATCTAAAACGTCCTATCATATATAGCTGCTTTACAGTCACGGTTTTTGATTCCGTTGTCTCGTATAATTGATGGTGCCCATCATATAATATATTTTACGTCCTAATGTTGTTATGATAATAAGAAATAATTACACGGGCAGCAGGCTTCGGACGGGCTGATATAATTAGACGTAATAAACCATTAATACGCAAGCGGAAATTAACATTAGTAAAAGTAGCTGATGTTTAAATTTAACAAGGTTTACAAGGTGTCTACTTAACTAATATTAATTAACCGCACGAGTTTGAAGAAAATCCAAAAAACGATTGTAATTTCATACTCAAACACTAGAAGTGTTTAATGTTTTCGTAACCTTTTTTTAAGTAGAATTAATTTGATTACCTACTATTATATATATATATATTCGTCCTATACTTCATATTAACCAACTGCACACGTTTTTCGTATAAAGCCTATATTGTGCCCACTTAAAATACTAAAATGTTTTCAAGAGTTGATAAAATGTATTTTATGGGAAAGAGATCCTGAACATATTTTGCTATATTTATGGTATAATATATTATAATGGTCTTTACTGATATTTAAATTAAGACATCTGAAATTGCAATTTTCACTATAAAGTTACAATACCGATTAATATGACAGCTTCGTGTCTATATGACAATTTACGTCTGAATAACAATTATTGATATTCTTATTTTGTGTTATTGTTATCATTATATAAATGTATTTGTTTGGATATTATGCATTAGTATGTATGTAATAGGTTAGGTAATTCAAATACATCATATAAACATATTACCTAGTATATAGGTAGTTTAAACCATAAATCAGCTCATAGTACGAGTGAGGAAACATCATTTTTGTTCCTACAAGATTAAAAAATAAATAAATATAATTTTGGTTATTAATATTTAATATTTACCTGAACAAAAAAAAGTATATATAAATGCACAAAAATATTTTTAATTGATTACTTGAATGTAATAATATTATTACGGAGGCATAGGTACATATATTAATTTTATTTCACAATCTGATATAAGTATAATATAGTCTGTAAATTTAGGGCTAATAGTTAATATTTTTTTCGTGGTAGTACTTTCAAAAGTTGAGAATTGACGTCTCATTTTTCGTATTCCGTTTGGAAGTTGGGTAAATAACTATTGTAACCTGAAATGTAAAAAATATTTTCATCGGTACTTATGTTAAAAAAAAAAATAATATTGTAGTACAGTTACATTATACTATAACAAAGATTTTACACAAACAGGAGAAAAAAGGACGTGTGAGATTCGGCCCGGAGAGATGGTATGGGTAGATAAAATGTGAGTTTTGCAGAAGTAAAAGGAAGACCATCTTGCAGTTACAGAGTCCATATAGAAATAGATGTGATGAGATTATGGTAGGAATATTCGGTAAGTAAGAGTAATTAGTTCGCCTAGGTCACACTACTCATCTTATGCTTAATCAAAAATTAGCAAGGAAGGTCATGTTTTTGTTGGTGCAGGATCGCGAACGAGTGAGTTGGACACCACAAACACGCTATACTATATTTTTACCAGAATATTGAAAGTGGATTTAATCGTAAATGGGAAATGTATACAGACATTTTGGGAAGAAATGTGCAGCGATGAGATTGTGGATTTTGCATACGTGCGATGACATAATATTATATGAATCATCATAATGTAGGCGCACCTACGTATATGTCTATATATATTGTAACTACACGTGTATATATTAAGGCCTTTTGTATATTAAGGCCTTCGTTGTAGAGTCGATAGACTAAGGGTTTTATGATAAGCACTCAACCGTGGATACACGCTAGGCTTAAAGGGGTTAGAGGAAATAGCAAGGGGGCATGATATATAATATATAGGTAGCGTCTGAAGCAATTACAATGATATCATATATGACTCAAAAATAAGGAAAATCACAGACCGAAAAGCCGAAAACAACATAAGCTTAAAAAAAAAATTTAGTTTAAAAATATTGCCAGCATAAAAATGAAAAATGAATAAATCTAGAAACTTGGGAATGTTCGTAAAGTAGATTAAAACGTGAGTTACAAAACCACAGACATGAATCCTATACAGATAAAAATAAAAATATTATATCGTTATGAAATTAAACAGTGATTTCTTTAATCCTAAAAAGAATATATATAATATTATGTCTTCGTATTTAAAAAAAATAAATTGTTATGTTAAATTTTGTAATGTTTTTATAGGTATAAACATGCTATATGATGAAACTTCTTAAAGTATTTGGAATTAAAATTGAAAATGTCTATACAAAGCCTAACTTCGACGTTTCTGCAAGTATGAAATAAAATGCAAAAAGTTTTGCTCCCAATAGGGAATCAAATCCAGATTTGCCAAACGATTTTCAGTCACAAGTTTTCGTATTTTCTAGAAAACTATTGGGAAATTCCATAAATAAGCTTTTTAAAGTACCACTTGTCGCCACTAATTATTATATCTATCAAGTGAAATTGGATTTTTGCAGCATTCATTCCCAAAAAGGATAATCAATACATTTTAACATCACTATATAATTACGCGTAATTTTGGGCAATCATTTAATGCAACTAAGTATTAAAGTATCTACGAGTAAATATTTTTATTTTTTATCAGTCATAAACTGAAATATTAATAATTATGATGTTGCAACTATTGTTCCCTCCCAAAAAAAAAAAAAATAATTATTGATACTCAATATATAATACTTAATTGTGGCGGACTTTTATTATGTATATTATATTGTACAAGGGATAATGTCTATCGAATAACTGTTCGTTGGAAACCGTTAATATATTACTTCCATTGTTAACAAAGTAATATATATATATATATATGTACACCTGTTTCGAATGGCTGTGTATAGTGGCAGGTGCTTAGCACACATTTTCAATTCAAATTACAAGCGTAACAATCGTCTCCTCCGAGCCCATATTGTAAACGAATAGAGGTACTGTGCGCATTAAGTATAATATTCAATTTAAACGTAATTTACCTGGCGGAAAAATATAAGCTTTGTAATTATCGTTGTCTCCATATCCTGAGTACTCGTTCATGTAGTCCACGGGATTTCTTTTCCCCCACGAACCTGTTTGCACACAAAGTATATATATATATATATTATGTATTATTTTTTTTTTTATCATTATTATTTATTCACTTTTTTTTTTTCTTAATTTACACGCGCATAATAAACTGCATCACAATGAGCGTATAGTCTATTCGTTTTATATTTACAACACTTTAAATATAGCACGCCTTGGTGTTGATAAGTTGCCCGCCGATATAGAAACACCGAGCAGCAGCCGGTACATAAATATTACTTATATGATTTAAAATTATTGCAGTATATTATACAAACTACAAACGTGACATATTTGTACGTCATAATGTTGAAGTAAGACACATTACTATGATTTATATAAATATTAAGTTTGGATTATTTAAAACATTTATTTTTATTGCATCCTACGAGTATATTCATATTTATTGTTTTTCTAGTGAACAAGTATACATATTAGATTATGGGAGGAGCGATGAATTTGATTTTATCTCTATTATTTCAGATTTGTCATTAACGATATTATGTAGAAAATGATTTAGCTAAAACATTGGATATATAGGTGCTGTATACCAGTTATTTTGGAACTAAAGTCACATTGAATACGGAAATTGAGATTATTTGAAAACATATTATTTCTTCAAAAGATAGCATTTAGAAGTTCAGTTTTTGTACATTTATTTGACGAACTTATTTAAATATTAAAATAAAATACATTTAAAGGGAATTTTCTACTATTCTTTTTTTTAAGATATTATTTACAAAATACAATTTAACAATTTATTTTTATTTTTACCATATTTAATTTTAAATCATTTAAGCCTATATATACAATTCATAAATAAGTATGTCTCAATAAAAAATGATTAGTTTCAGCATTATGGTTTAAAATTAAATATGGTTGAGACTTTGAGAGTAGATAGTTGTAACTATATTTTAACATCACTTACCATAACTGGGGTTTGTTAACTGGGTTAACTGGGGTTTTGTTCAAAAGTCAAGTAAAAAAATAATGATGTAACCCTCGTAATAAAACGTAAACTTATACCCAAATCCCCGTGTTGTTATATATTAAAATGAATAATAACCAAAAGTATAATCTTGTTTACCTATTACCAGTCTTGTAAAGTATTCGAATAAATGTATTCGAATAAAAGTATTTGAATACTCTTTTTGTATTCGAATACTATTCTAAATACTTTTTTTTAAAGTATTCGAATACGTATTCTGAATACTTTTATTTGTATTTTTTATTCATTAAAAAAATACTTTTTCCGATTCAGTAAAATAGTTTTAAATTTGTGACAAGACATATATTATAAATCATGAACATTTATTTTATTCTTTGAAAGAAATATAATTTTGGCCCATGATATGATTATTTTTATAAATACCAATGTGTTTTATCACGTATAGTTCGTATCGGCAGTATCATATGTGGTCAAAATTTATAAATAGCTTATGATTACAAAGTAATTTTAATTATTAATTAATAAATGTTAATTAGTAATTACCAACCATTCAAAAACTGACAACAATTATTTGTGAAAAAAAGTATTCTAATAGTATTCGAATACTTTTTAAAGTATTCAAATATGTATTCTGAATATATTTTTTAAGAACTATTCGAATACGTATTCTGAATACCTTAATTCTCATTTATTCGAATATGTATTCCGAATACAAAATAAAAGTATTCTTTACAAGACTGCCTATTACCATCTATATATTATATGCTATGCATATTTTTCTATCTAGATCAGCTACCCCTATTATGTGCATTAAATTATTGCGCCACAATATTGACATACGCAATGACGTAGGTAAGGATAAAGGTAAGCTAATGAGGATTAATTATGTTAAACAATACATTTTTAAGACTGCATAATAAACTGTAAGAATAAAAATAATATCGTTTTCAGTAGGTAGGTATATTATATAAATATAACTATTTTAATCGACTGTATATTTTTAATTTAAAAATGTGGTTAATACAATGCTATATTACCTATAACACTCGAGACATTACCATGTATATTGTTTTCGTTTAGGGTATATTTATTAAAAATTATTTTATTCCATCAATAACATCAAACATTACCTAATTGTTATTGATTCATTTGTTTGGAAATTCATCCAAGTGGATAACAAATTTTAACGTTAAATAAATCTTTTATTTTGAGTTGTACCTGCCTACTATTCTTGTATTAAAGTTGAGGTTTGTGTTGATTGTTGAACATCAACAATAGAATTATTAATGTGTTATATAACTTTTCTTTTAATACATTTTTTTTTTTTTTAATGTATCGGTCTTTCTTTAAAAAATATTACAAATAAAAGGTTTTGGTTCAATTATTATATTATGACAATAATATTATATTATTAATGTGGTGAAATAATAATTTGGTCATAATATATATATACAAGTATTGTAATTTATATTATTGTGTAATACTGTAATGTAGAATGGAGGGTATAATAATTTATAAACACTTTTCACATGGTTTTGCATAAGCACATGTTAATAAAATATAACCTAATATTTTAATGACTATAATTTTAACGCGAAAGATTAAAACGCTGTACGATGTTTTTGTTTAAAGGTAGATTATGATAATCTTTTTAACTTAAAACATCCCTTAGAATATTTTGAGTTTTCAACCCTAATAGCGAGGGCGCTTCCAGGAATACCTACTGACGGGAGCTACGAAATGTATGGTACTTTTACTTAACTTTATTATATGTAAGTAAGTATTATGTTAAATCGAAAAAAACTGAATGAATAACTATAATAATTTAACTTTACGATATAAAGTAATTAATAATTATATAGCTACATTTTGTTGTAAATCTAACCATGTTTGTAGTGCAATAATTAACAATTTTGTTATTTCCTCCCAATAGTAAGGTCTTTGAAATCTCCCTGGTCTCCCCCGAGAAGCTCCCTGCAGGAACCTCTTTGGGAACTAATTTTGCAATTACGGAAATCTCTTCTATACCATGAAGTATGCTGAATGATCATTATTAATTGTGAATTATTTAGAAACACGTTCAAATGGCTTGTCTTAAATGTTCTTAGTATAAAACATGTATAATAGATAGATAAAGTACGTATTTTTGCTTATGTTGGAAACAATTCACAGTGAGTAGTATCTACAAAAAGTGTTAAAAAAAATTTAATATTTGGGTGGTTTATCAAACGAAGGATCTTTCGTGCATCGTCTAGTTGTCTTTTATACAAACCTATCTAGTATAATATAATATGATGAACAAAGCATATTAAATAGTGTGAATTTTAATAATATTACACATATGGCAGAAGTAATTAAAATTAAGAATACTAATTATTGCTTAAAATATAAAAAATAATGATAGATTTTGTATGTTAATGTGCAGTCCATATATTATATAATAAATAATAATAATTAATAAAGATAGGTAAGCCTTGACAGGTCAACTGTTACTTAATGTAAACTACAGAATTTTCCATTTAATATAACAAAAAAAATTTTTTTTAACTGTGGTGTAGTGTACTGTAAGGTGAAACACGCGTGTTGTTTTTTTTTGCAGATTTTCAAGTGGGCACCTGTAGGTATCTGCCATGCCCGGGCGGGGGATGGCGGCACTTGTTCTAAGTGACTAAGTGACTTGCCCGAAGAAAAATGCCACCTACGGCCGAGGTATCGAACCAGCGTCACTCCGTCCCCCATAACAACAATAATGACCCAGCTTATACTAAATTAGATAAAATGTTTGGCTTACCGGCTTACCTCTAAAGCTTGTCCAATCAGCTGCTCTTTTGCCCCAAGATCCCTGGAAATTGTCCCATGATCGTTTTTCTGCTTCATTAGGGTTTTCTTCTTCGTATTTGTCTAGATACTCGTCAAACTGAGACAATTGACCACTGGTGGCGGGCTACAATGTTATAATAGCAACATTATTGAACAATCGAAATATTATAATAATATAATATTATATTCTCGGATATAAATAGTTTTGTGATTATTATTATTCCTGCGCATAATACACATTTCAAATTTCGTCGACGTCAACAATATAATATATTAATAAATAATAATATGTGAAAACAGTGCAGTCAAGCACACGTCATAAATCGTAAAACTCTACACGACCGCCTACGCTTTCGAGTACTGAAATACACGTACCTGATCCTTAAACCTCTTTCCCCAACCCCCTGACTGCATGTCCTTCCATCCGCGCTTTCCCCATCCGCCGTGCAACTTTTGCCAGCCCTGCCTCTTGCCCCACGACGAGTGCAAATTCTGCCAGTCCTGTGCCCGTTTGCCCCACGTGGTCTTTAAGTTTTGCCAACCACGTTTGCCCCAGCCAGCCGTCTGCAAATCTCGCCATGCCCGTTTCTCCTCTTGGTCTTCGTCGAAAGACCTCGTGTAGTCCGAGTTATCCTGTGAAACGTATATATAATAGGTATATTAAATATTGGTTATGTTTGAAACGTACTACTATAATAATATATGTACACAGCTAATAGTATTATTTCAATATCATTTAAGTAGCATACATAATATACCTATACCTACGTATATAAATAAGCTATTAAACAACTATAGTATGTTATGGATATTATTTATAATCCCAAACAAATCGAGACTGTGTATAATATATTATAATAACTATAGAGCATATTATTACGTTGGAACATAGAGATGGATTTTTTTTTTTAATAAAAGTATAAACAATATGTTTAAACAAATTCTTAAAAATTGAATACATTCGTAAAGTACCTATACTATACCTATAAAATATAAAGTAAACATATAACTACTTCACTATAATATATTACAAGTAGTACTCACACATTATTCTCAAATTATAAGCATAATTTAGGCATATGATTTTGTTTGTCAGAACTCAAAGTGTAATAATACGAGATATTTTAATTTATGACTTATTACACGTCGTGTTATATTTATTCAGTAGGTAGACTTAAAAGCGGTTTCAGTGAATTTTAAATTGAATAATTGTTGTTTAATAATGTTTTCTTAGGTGCAGAAAGTTATAATTTTATTTTTGTTAAGTAGGTATATATTATTATAATTAATACGAATCGATTCGAAATAATGTTTCTTTACTTGTTCAGTTTGACTGGATTTGATTGATGACGCTTGAATAGCAGACTCCGGTATTGAAAAGACAATTACTGGACATAAAATAACCAATGTGGCCGCTATCCTCCCTAAAACATTCTGCATTCCGCCACTTAGGTTGATCCTAAAACAAACACGTAAAATAGTTATTTCTTGCTGGCGATACTGATGAACATTATAACAATATGAAAAATTAAAGTCAATTATAATATGAAAGCTACACAACTGTTTAAATGGCTCAATACTCAAAACATAATATTACGAGTATTATATTTACTAAAAATTAATATCGAGTAAAAACAAACGGTACTATTATATTTGAACCATCACTATACGATGTCTTCTACTCTTCTATAAATACATTTTCGAATAATACAAACTAACACAAGAAATGCTTTACATTCAATATGAAAAATTAATATTTTAAATTAATAAAATAGTTCACAGTTAAATATGGTCCTTAATTAGATAGCTAGCTGTAAGATATTAAGATATTAATTATAACGATAATAGAAAAATTAAACGTTTGTTTTTTTTTTTAAAAAATTAGGTAGGACATTTAGTTTGCTTATATTTTTTTATCGCTAAACATCAGACTTCTTAGTCTCTTCTGAATATTTATTGATTGAAGTGAATCAAGTTGAACATAATATAAAATAACTACTAAATATTATCATAATCAGGCAATCAGCAAATAAAAAACCTCATTAATATGATAATCACGATGCTCATAAGTATAATATTCTTATGGTGTGACTAATCTTCTCATATAGGTATTGATAACCGTATTAATAATTTTTCCAGGCAGAAGTCTTCACCGGGTATTAAAAATGTTGTAAGTAGGTATGTATAATATTATAATAATTTAAAATGTTGTCAAAGTTAATCGTCGGTTAAAAAATATCAGTATAGGTACGATTGCATTTAAACTCTAGAAAATTGTTTTCATTTAAATTAAATAGGCCATTTAGAATAAATAATTTAGGTAGTTATGTTTTGCATAAAGAAAACATAAAACTGGATTTGTTTATTTTCATCATTACGCCTTATAACTGCTCGACTAACGACTATTATTATAGGCTTATACAAATACACAGTCGTTGTTGAATTAACTTATAGAAAATAATTAGAAATAATAGAATAATGTACCTAAACTTTATGTTTATTTACAATCGAATGTGATTATGACCTCAGGTATATACTGTAGTATGCACAGGTCACATATTGTTTCAATATAGTCTAATGATATTGTTAAGTCATACATGTATATCAAAGGTATTATATATATGTATACAGTATACCCTACCTATGTATACAGTTTTGAGCTTATGACTAAAAGGATATCATATTATATTATATGTTTTAAACATCATTTTACAAACTTGTAAAATTCCTTACTTAACTATTTGATGATTATTACTTTGGTTTACTTATGCAACATTTTCGTTTAATTTCTTAATGGCCGGTGTTTTTTTTTATATAAGTCATTCACACGATAATGAAATTCTCATTGTTGTTTAATGTTTATCTATGCTCTTTTCGTTCCAAATATTTGACATTTATATAAACAAGGATGAAGGAGGGCTGTCCTGTCATTGAGTGTCAATCATTGCAGAGGCGTATACACACATGACTTCCTTGTGTCTGACAATAAAGGAATTATTTATGGGGAAGGAACCGATGGCATATATAAGTATAATACGTATATTATTTGTAAACCACAGGATAATATAATATTTATAAGACACAATCGAATTGTAAGTTATTGTTATCACATTTATCAAGTACCTACCTACATTTACAGAACACAAAACATACATTTAATAGCCAACTTTGTAGTACCTAGGTTTAATTTAATAAATGTATTATCATAGAGCAACCCTTTTATACTGCGATCAGTAACAAAAAAACTTTAAAACCGAAGGAATTGTGGTCAAATTTTTTACTGTCTAATTTATTAATTTTTTTTTTCTAACTCAACCAATATTTTGTCTGAAGTTTTTAATATTTATTGTTGTACCCATTGCTATCATGGTCAATCCACCGGAATGGTTCTATATAAACATATCACGACCACACAGTAACGCAATTTACAATTTAAATACCTACTTAAAAACAGCTGATCATAATTTATCACTATTACCAAACCTGGGCATGAACGAGTTAAAAAGTTAAAGTTAAATTAATTTTAACTTTTTAAAATTTAATTTTCATTAACTTAACTTATTTTAATTGATATAAACTTAATTAATAACGAGTTACTTTTAATCAAATCCAAGTTAAGTTAATTTATAAATAATTAAATAATAAATATAATAAAAATAAAAATAATTATTGATGTTGCATAACCATTTACTAGAATAGGAAATTAAAAATATAGTTAAATTAATTTCTTGTTCAGAATTCTTCAAGAAAAATAACTTAATTAAATAGTAAATAGGTATACAACTGAGAGAGTTCCCCTATATTTTTACTTTTGAACTCTCCAAGTAGCAAGTGAAAATAATTTGCTATCAAAACCATCCTTACTCCTTAGATCGAAGAATTTTTACTGATCCAAAATGTTATCACAAATACAAGAAAATTATTAAATTAAAAACACACATATTATTGAAAAAACAAAACATTCATTAACCCGCTCAGAAACTGAAATTATAACACAAGGAACTATTCAATATATTCATTTTTCTGAATTAGCATATATTATTAAACCATCGGAATACGTTGTCGTACTCACAAAATATCATTCCTAACCAACCTATATTATAAATTACTCCGAATTACTGAGGAAAACCTACAATAGTTGGTTACGATTGTTTTCATATTCTATAGTTTATCCATTATCTTTAATATTAGGTATTACTAATATTAGGTACTTACTTATAGAATTTATTTAAAACGGTGAATTATCATTTGACAATCTTATATTGTGTTACAACAATATTTAATATTTTCCTTTTTACCTATTTCTTATATTTTTACGACTGTTATTCGTATAATAAAAATGTTGTCAAGATTACATATATTTATAAAGGAGACCTTCAGAAGTCCATATAATATTAAAATTATCAAGGAAACTTTTACTCATTAAATTTGTAAAACAAGTATTTACTTCTCCAGTGGTATTTCTTAAATAGTTTGCAACTTTTTAAGACGAGAAGCCATCCGTTCAGATGTAGCTGTTGACACAGAAAGTGCGCAAAATATTTTCAATAATTGCGATGTACGTAATATGTTGGGAAATATATCAGGGTTGAAAAGTTTAAAGGTTTCTATTCCCGTATTTGGGAAAGTTTCTAGCCTTGAACATTTTGCTTTCCATAAATGCATCACTAATTTTACCTTTTACTCGGACGCAGATTTCTCTAGATCTAGATTTTTACCTGGACGTCTATGTGTTTTTAGTATAAATTATGTTTTCTTACGTTTTACTAAATAGTAGGTATATATATATATATTTTTTTAAATTTATTTGAATATATACAATCTGTAATAATAGTTACAATAAGCATATATGAGCTGGATTACAATTGACTTTGAAAGCGTGAGGTGTGTAGTTACCCATCAGTGACACTCGACGTGAAATTTATTAGGCTATTTTACATATATATTATACATACTTATGTTAATGATTTTTTTTTTATCATTACAAATAGTATTTAATATAATAATATATTATAGTATTTCTTGATTAATTTATTACTTATATTAAATCACATTTGTGTAATACGATTATAACTGTATAAATAAAAATAATCAGACACGTAGTTTTGAAACAAAAGGTTTCGCACCCTTCACCATACCGTGTGTCTACGACCCTACTGGAAGATGAGCTTTAGTATTTTCGTATGTGTGTATAATACAATTAATATTAAATAATGGTTAATGGCGCTGGACCTGTTGCAGTAGCCCACTCATAACATATTGCAATGATTATACATATTATTTCCTTATGTTTTATGCAAAGAACAAAATATTATGAACACATTGTTGTTTTTGTTTTTAGTAATTATAAAAAGGATTAAACAAACATTGAAAAAAAATATTTTTTTGCGCTCTTGCATTTTTCTATATTAGCGTTATTATTGTATATATTGTAATAGTCCGTCTTGTATTGTCGTTTGTGCCACTATTGGCATTTGATAATAATAATAATAAAAATAATAATAAAAATAATTATAATAATATAATATTCCGTGTCTAGAGGTACGTAATAAAAAATACATACGACAACAAAGAACTGTTATAACACACCACGAGAATTATTGTACCTGTGACGTTATTATAATATATTATTTCATCGGTTCGTCCCGATGATAATAATATAAATGTACAATACTATTAGGTGTATAATAGGTATAGCAATGATAATATTATTATTTCACATGAATTTATCACTATAATATGATATTTCGTATGCGTGTTGCCGGCCAGCAGCGCCGCATAGGCAAAAAATAAGAAAAACATGTTATGAAACGGAATTTATCCGGTAAAATTCACGGTTTAAATGTATAAACATAGTTTAGCATAATTCGGCGGTAAACAACAATTTAATAACGTATTATATATATTATTATGGTAAATTATACAGTATAATATAGGGAAAGTGAAATGCATCGGTAAATTAGCATCCCGCTCGCGTAACCTGTTTCCCGCGCGTTTGCAGCCCACCATATGGGTCATCGTCGCGCGTACGGTGTACCTGTATTATATTATTATTATTATTATTATTATTATTATTGTAATAATATAATGGTAGGTATATGGAGAGACACTATCTCTTCTGCGGCGGCGGTGGCGGCCCGACGAGAAAAAAATATAATAATCGGCAAGGTGGAAAAAAAAAATAAAAAGAACATCTCGTACATAATAATGTAAATTGATAATAATTATTAAATCTCCGGTATTGAGCAACAAGTGTGCGTGCGGGCCCGCTGCAAGTGTTCAGTCGGCGGCGCCGGAGGGGAGGGGTAATGCGAAAAATGATGCAAACCTAACCTAACCTTGTGATGAATGCGCTTATATTGGCTGAGAGAAAAAATGTAAAAAGTTCACATGCGCCTGAGAACTTTTTCCACGTAACGCATTACGCTTAAAAATAATAT